AAGATTTGATTTTTCAACTTTCCGATGCGTACGATATAGCCTCATTCTTTCCCACGGTGGTGTTAAACAAGTACATTAAACGACATATTTTTAGTATTACATCATCAATGACGTCATTCACTAAACCAACAAACGCTTATGATTTAATCCCGGGACTTGTATTGTTTGTATAAGCGATGATATTTTGTTGTATTAAGTACTTTCGGCATAAAGATGTTTCAGTAAAACATAAGTTTGAAATTGGGTTACAATAAATTGAGTATTTTTGAATTAGATTCATGTCCAGAGTGGTAATGAGAAAAACCCATTTTCCGAAGTATAACTAGTGTTTTCATAAAATGAACATTCGATTTCAGAGAAGCAAGCAACGGAAATGTGACATTTTACTGTAAAAAACTCTTCATTCGGTCTTACTAACCTTCCAACAAAAGTTATCCTCTGTGACATATGTCGCCTCCATAGTAACCACTTGCGATAGAGCACGAGGATCTCCCGTACGGTTTATTATTTTGCAATTTTTTTAATATTCGCGCTGCATGCCGGATACTAAATGTACTATCTTATATTTATATAAAGAGTGATCATAATTTGTTTTGCGCAAATTTATTTATTGCGAAGTATATATGAAAAAATCGGATATAAGTTTCCATTTCCTTATTTTATGTTCCTTATGGTGGACTAATCGGATCCCGTCTATTTGTTGAGGTATTCTTTTTTATAATAACTGGCAAAATTCAATCAGGACATGTGTGGAACAAGCATGAAAAGTGTGAGACAAATAGATCAAGTGTCGGAAAAGCGGACACGTTCAACTAAGACATACATTACAAATGCGGGATTATTAGGACATGTGTGGTAATAGTAGGACAAGTAGGAAAAAGTGTAGGGGAAATAATTGAAACATCCTAATCCTTTATCCCGAGACGTTTAAATTTGTTTGTTTTCCATTTTGATTTTGCTCTTTGTTAGAGATTAATGGCAAGAAAGACCGTAATAAGAAAAGCGAGTGTCATTGCAAAATGTACGCTTTCATGTTTATGGTTTTTGTTTTAATCGGAACATACACGATTATGGCAGTACATTACATTGGCAGTAAGTGCCGGTCAACGACAAACTTTAATTTAACAAAGTTAAGTGAATTCCACATTATCCACATATCTGAAGAAAATGGGAAAACAAAACTTTATGTAGAAAAAAATGTGTTAAAAATTTGTTTGCGCATTTCAACAGCGAAATAACTCAACCGATTTCTCGTCTTTCACGAAATCTGTTTTCCCGTTGTCCACAAAGTCTGCCTAAACAACCGTCTGGAACCGTTTTACCTTATGATTCATATTTGTAGTGTTTGCACAGAGTCACGCCGTATTGTTGACTTGTCCACCCAACAATGTAATTCATCATTATCGTGTCTATTTTTATGTGCAACTTCACACCCTCGACAATAGCTATAATATGTGTAGTTAGTAAAATGATGTACAGAGTTATATATGCTCTAGACAAGCAAAAATTATATAGGGTGTCTATGAAGTCTTGAAAATTTTTCTATAATTGCAAGGGAATTTATCGATACCATATATTGTTTTGACCCTCACAGATGTATTAAATGATTTAAACATACTTAAACAATTACTGATTGAAAACAAACAAAAATGGTCAAGATATATTAGAAAACTGACTTCTTTACCAAAGTAAAATGGTAAAGGAACTTCATGGACACTCTGTGTTTTGGAAAGACCAGAAAATTCCAGGTTTGGCATCAACTGCAAATTTTTTTATACCTTGGGTAATAGGTATGTAATTTTAAATCCGATATTTTTGAGTTATCAATATATTCAGTTCGTCAATATAGTAAAATACCTCCTAACACGTAAAAAAAAAATTGAAGTTCCATTTCAAACAATGACGTCATCAAAATTACGTCATCACCCTACGTGCTCAATCACTTTCATGTCTTTTCAACCACTTAGTAGATTTTATGATTCACACCATGTCCTGTTTATTGAATGAGTTGTAAGTATCGTAAGAGGCTCAATGTTGTTTGAACAAGACTTAGTTTTAAGCCGATATTGTTTGGTTTGGGATTGTTTTTAACTTAGAAATCACTGTTCGGTGTCAAATAGGATTAATTGAATCAGTGAAATGGAACCGGGGCACGTATGAGTAATTATAAAACGGGATTTGGGGGAAAATAACATATTAACATAACGCTATCCAGTTACAGGACATTGTTGGAAAATGATTGTCTACAAATATTTTCAGGGGTGGTTTTATATACCGTGTGTCTACACTCTGAACAAAGCTCAGTAAAAGATTTACTAATATTTGAGGAGATACTAAATAGGGTTTCCATAAAGTGTTAAATTTTTAATAGTTGCAAAAGGAGTAGTTTATTAATACCATATATTGTTTTGGCCCGCACAAATGTAATGAATGAAGTAGTAATATCTAGACAATTACTGATAAAAAAAACAACAACAAACCTGGTTAAGATATATCGAGAACTGACTTCGTAACAAAATTGGAATTGCAAAGAGAGTTTATCGATACCATATATTGTTTCGGCCCTCACAGATGTATTGAATGAAGTAAAAATACTTGAACAATTACTGATCAAAAACAACAAACCTGGTTAAGATATAATGAGAGCGACTTCAAAATTGAAATTTCAACGGGAATTTATTGATACCATATATTTATATTCCCAGGCGTGGTTTCTCCTCAAGTAAGTTTGTTTGCTCAGGAAATATTTCTTGATTGTTTTTGTTGTTCGAGATTGAGATTAATTGACTTAATGGGGCGGAATGAGACAAGACTGTGACGTAAGAATTGGGTAAAAAATGAACGAAGTTCAAATATCGTGATGTAATAGTCAAAAAGTTGGGTGAGTGATAAATATTTCTTACTTCTGAGATTAGGAGAAAATCTATCCCAAAACGACTTGGTGGGCGGATTTTCATGTGTTCCATCATGGGGGAATGAGGGTCTTCATATAATCCAGCAAGGAAAAACTCCAAGTGACAAAAGTGGAACTGGCCAGGCATCGGTTGTGCAGTTTTCGTCAGAAATTGACTCGCTCTGACCATTTTCTGAAAGTTCAACACTGTTCAGGAAATATGAAATCTAATTAGCTAGCTGTATAAATTAGCTCTAATTACCAACTTCCAACTCAACCTCTCCTACAAAAACTATGGTTATTTATGTAATCACTAATTGTGTCTTTTTCGCCCGCTTTTTGGTGCATTTTGCTCAAACGTTGTAACTTCTTACGCTCTCCAGTCGATGTTTTCAGAAAAGTCGGTGCTTCAGTACTGATACGCGACCTTCGTGTCCATATAATGGAGAATTGTTCTCTAATCCTATCCCTACTTTTGAAGTATGAAGATCTCGTAGTTAACTTACAACCAATCGATTTCAAATTTCGAGTACTGAATGAGATATGGAGATGTGGATGGAGCTGTTAGAAGGCCAGGGCCGTAGTCAAAAAATTTTTGAAATTTTGAAAAAATTGTCAAGTTAGACCGCAACAGCTAGGTGCCGCTCTAAGCACCCTTCTCCCCCCCACCCCCCGTTCACACACATGGGCTACGCCCCTTGCTTTCTGTACAGACACGCGTCCTTAGTGTCAATATATTGAAAAATTGCTCTTTAGTCCCTGTTTCTGAAGTATGAAGATCTTCTAGTTACAACTAATCGCTCTCAGATTTCCAGTACTTAGATATAATTGGTGATGCAAAAAGACCATGGAAGTAACAGATACCTTTGAAGGGGGAAGGAGGGGGTGCTGAATACAAATAACCAAATTGACCGTGGCAGGTAGCGGGCCCACCCTCAACACAATTCTCCTAGTTATATAATCAATCGATCTTAGATTTGCATCACTTATATACGACTGAAGATGCAAAAAGGCGATTAGACAGAAACCTTTACACGCATCTTCGTTTGTATAATATTATTGAAGAAATGCTCCCTAGTTTTATTCTATCCCTATTTTTAAATCAATGAATATCTTATTGTTGTAACTTTATTATATTGAAACTTCCACGTGAAGAAACAACTAAAGCTGGGCATTTTGAATCGAATATTCGAATTGAATAGTAAATCATTCGAAGCGGGTTGGACAAAATTCCAAATCCTGGCCATCTTGTTTTTGTTATGATCGCCAAAAGTCGAAAAAAAAATATTCGATTCGATTCTGAAATCATCAGGTATTCGAAAATGCCCAGCCCTGGTAACAACAAAGAACTAATTTATTAATTATTAGCACACAATGCAATCACTGAATTTTGTTTTGTTAGAATTAAAATAAGATCTAAGGAAAAATTTGCGTGACAAAAAAAATATTTTGAAAACGTAGAATATGATAATTGATCGGACCTGGTCGAAAGGGGCCAGGAGAAATGCGGGGCAGAACTTATTTTGAAATGTAAATAAAACATTTCTTTGTTAATTTTAAATTTTTTTTACCACTCAAGACTTTTGAACTCACGTTTTCGGCCTCTGGTCGTACGCGCTACCTCTAAAATACCAATATCTTTAAAATATTGTAACATTAAGAATCTTAAACATTTGCCATCGAAAATTTGTTCCTAAAAACAAACTATAGGCCGAGGCTGGAAATATTTGAATGTTTATTCCAAAGGTGGCCCATCCCACCGAAATAGGCCAGTCACGTAATATAACAGTTCTGGTCAGTCGACCAGTTTGGGAAAAGTCGAATTTCGAAAAAAAAATGAAGTGTGCAACAAACGATGAAGAAAAATACAAAATACAGAACATACAATGCAATATTTAGTTTCTGAAAGTTGAAAATAATATAAAAGCTTGTTATGCAGGAGCAACAAGTGACCGAAAATACAAAACTGAATGATAGATTGGTTCGGTGATGCCACTAATCAACTTCGGACGAAAATGAAAGCGATACCTTTTTTGGACCTCCAGAAGTATGCGCACCAAGATGACGCACAACCTGAACATAGTATGTATGTATCGGTTAGGATTTAGGTCGTGCGAAATTTTGGTGTGCATACTTCTGGAGCACTCCATTTTTATTTCTTTTGCACTAAATTCTGTACTGAAACTGCATTGAATTTGAACAAACGATTATTTTTTTCGGACGAAAATGCGCAAATTGAATTGTAAGTCAGATTATAACCAGTTTTATCTAGTTTGTGCTGCAATGATGTCAATAATGAATATTTTGACAAAATGAAGTTATCTCCAATTTTGTGTCATCTATTTAATCTAGGACCGACTGTCATGGGAATTAGGATTTCTAAATTTTTGTAAAGCTATATAGAATGGCTGTGCCTTGGTATTATAAAGAGTATAAATATTCAAACCAAAACAGCAAAGAATTGGATAAGGTAACAAATTTGAGAGGAAATCTCGGACCACAGTAATGATTTCGGACCGGTATTAAATAACAACCAGCAATTCTTATAAGATAGACTATTTTTTAGTTGCAAAAATTTGGACAAAATGTTCATTTCAGACACTTGTTCAAAATCCCAGGTTGCAAAACGTTTTTTTAGACTAATTACATAAAAATATAAAAAAAATATCAAAGAAACGCAAATTACAGAATTCAAACTTTTCCTAATATCTAACTTCCACGTTTTCATTTTCTGTATTAGGATGCGTTCTTGAAGTAATGTTAGACTTGTGTTATGATGTCATGATACGAACACGTCATTTGTAATTCGTAACGTCATCATTGAAGTGATAGACGAGAAATGATAAGCACACAAACAATCCAAGACCAGCTTAGTATGTTTGAGATAGCGATCCTTGCCGAGCCAGAATCTGTAAATGGAGAAAAACAATAATAAAATCTGCCCAAAAGTTGTCTTACGTAACCGACCCGGTCACGCGGTTAAGTTACGGCGACGAAGAGTCTGGCAATCCTCTCGCTTATATTCGTCCCCCATGAGATTCGAACCTGCGAACCCTCGATAGATAATCGGAAATGACAGAGCGAGATGTTCCATTTTTAATTGGAAGTGAAATTCTCGTATGTAAGTGCGGATGTAATGTAATCTTGGAAGGCAAGAGTATTACCGGTACAGCATTGCCTACCCAGTTTATCCCACCCTGAGGTAAAGGGGTTTGAACAGAGATTTCAAGTTGTGATGCAATGATGTCAAGTCTTTGATGTCCAGTGGAGTAACTAGGCCAGGGTATGGCAACCATAGCTCATACCATGGGCGCCGTTTGAACAGCGGCGCAAGGCGAAAGTGCGAAAAAATTTTCCGTAAAAACTATCAGTTTCAATAAAATAATTTCAAATTGAAAATAATTGAAACTCGTATTTTTACTTGAATAATAACGTACAAGCATCTTAATTTAACAACAGTCGGTAAAAATGTTTCAGTCAACGATCAAAGGGGCAAATTTTAAAATTATGCCATGGGCGCCATTATGGGTAGATTAATTATTTCGCCAACCAGAAAAAACGAGCATTGCAATGATAATAAAAATATACAACAACATAAGCCAAGTTTTTGGTATAGACTGGAAGGGAAGGAAAACGGCCATATGGCCATCAGAGTTGGCTTCCTTTAAAAGTTTCAGTTGTGAGGTTACCACAGTCAACTCTAACAATTTTACAACACGGCCAACGCGTCGTTTTACTCTAAAATATAGTCTTACCGATGCAAATCTTCTGAGTGCTGCTCTCCCTAGATGAGTGATAAGTCAGGTCATTGCCGTTCACGTTACCCCCCCATGCATACAGAAAAAACCTACAAGTGTCCAGCCCAAGATCATTATCGTCCTGAAAATAAAAAAAAAGATGTGCATGGAGTCAATATTTTGTACTATACGGTTTGATTATGAGAAAATGTGTTAATGATTGAAATATGAGGTTTTCTTGTCGTACAAAAAATTGTTAATACATAAATAAAATAGCAAAGAATTGAAAATAGGTATGAAAATATATATTGCAATTCTGCAAAGAAAAAAATGTTGATAAAATATGTCATTAGGTTATTCAAGACTACTGTATTATAAAAAGACGATAACGATTATATTTTTTTTATTGGGAACCGATCACAGGACGCCATTTCCACCGCCTTGACGTTTATAGATACAACCTAGAAATTCTGTGATTGTACTAAATATCATTTCCGACATCGGGATTAGGAAAAGGGTTTAAATCTCGAGATCGCAAACCCAGTTTGACTAGCTAAAAAATTGTTTTGCCAATAACTAAAAATATCTGCCAATATCTGGTGTAAGCTAATTTTGTTTTGCGGGCCGCACGGAATGTGTCCGATCACAGGATCACAGGACGCTATTTCCACTGCCTTGGCTCTTATAGATACAACTTTGAAATTCTGTGATTATACCAAATATTATTCCCGACATCGGGATTAGGAAAAGGGTTTAAATCTCGGGATCGCAAACTCAGTTTGACTGGCTAAAAAATTGTTTTGCCAATATCTGGTGTAAGCTAATTTTGTTTTGCGGGCCGCACGGAATGTGTCTGCGGACCCTCCGGAATATGTGATACAAAAAAGTACAAACACCCAGAACAAAAAATCCCTCCGACGTGCCGGTGGGATGTGAAGCACACTTTTTTTGTACAGTGAATGAACTTACCGTAGATTTTAGAGGTCTTGTGAATTCAACCGTCATTTGACCATTATTGTAGCTTCCCCCAACAACGGATGTAGTGGGGGTTCCCCCGTCAAGCGCGACACCTGCTGGAGTCCTGGCGGTAATATATCTATCGGTTACTGTTGGCGGGTTCGACGCGTTATCCATCCATACTACGACAGCGTCCGTGTTGACCTGAATAAAAATTTAAAAATCAAATACTTAGCTTAATCAGTACAGTACCGAGTTTATTGCATGAACTTTTCCACTTTGGGAGAATTATTGTAAAAACAACGGTATGAAAATTCATGATTCTAAGCACTACATTAAATTAATATGGAAGAGGAAATATCATTTTCAAGTTTTGGCATTTTGTATGTAGAAAATTTGGTACTCTCGTTGTGTGTGTACCAGTTTAGGGTTAGGCCATAATTTTATTCTGATTTTCCCTATTTTAGTTCTATGACGAGTTCGGGGACGGCCTGTGTTAGCCAAGTGCCCATAGGTTTCCGTCTCTTTATACAACTTGATGTTATGTAGGCGAACCAAATTAGGTACCTCTATGTTAGTACACACACTTCTGGCAACTGTAGAATAAAGAATACAAGAGAGCTTCATTTTCCCATGTCTCAGCGGTACTCAACACGTTTTAGTCGTCAGAAAACCATTAGCCGCCAATTGTTGCAAAGTACTAATGCGTTGAAGGGACCGGATTTAATCGACCGGATATTTAAAGTATCAACTAGAAGTAATCGACTCCAAACACCGAAAATCGAGTAACCATGGCAACTGCAGCATAGATAACACAGGCAAGCTTCATATTTACATTGCTCAGCAATACTTACCATGGCCTGGTCGTCAGAAAAGCCAATAGCTGCCCACTGTTGCAGGGCCACCTTTGCTGTTATAGTGAATTGCACCATTCCTGTGCTCTTTCTGTATCTCCAACGTGCGACATAATTGCAATTGTCTGTGCAATCTTTTGGGGAAGAGTGTGTGCCTTCACTTGCTTCTTCGGTAGAGTTAGGATCATCTGTTACGGGATAGAAATAGAAAAAAAAAGATTTAGTAATTGCAATGATGACATATGTAAAATTTTGAAGTTGGAATACAAGTAAATATTTGATAACCGTGATACTTTGAATATTGATCAGAGTCGGCCTTAGCTGTTATGGGGCCCTATGCAAATTGAATTACATGGGGCCTAGGGACATCGGGACTATGCTGTGAGAAAAATTGCTACCATACGCTTTATTATGAGTTTTCTTTCTACTTTTGAGTGGATGGATCGGCGGGGATCTTGCGTAAATCCAGTCTATTTACGTACTGCTCTTTGCACATCACTTATCGGTTATAACTTATTTATCTTTTAATAATCTTGCCGATTGGTTTTGAATTTTAAATTTAGGCACATAGTTTAGGCCTAGCACCAACAACGTAGTCAGCCCGAAAGGGGGAAACGGAAAATTTTCGTTGGTATAATGACGTAATAGAACGCCTACTCGTGCCTTCTGCTTCAAACAAGGCTAGATAAAAGAAGCCACCGTCACATAACGATCTTCTTACAGACTTACGTCACTGTCGGTATCCAAGGTATACAAGCGCGCATTTTTACCTAAATCGGTTGCTTTATTTGATGGGAGGATTATTTATAGCAAGCCAGGAAAGACCTCAGATCGCCGAGTTGAACGCTCAGAACCTTACTTTGATAAATCTTACAATATATGTATAAAGAATAACTTACCATAAACATTGATGGTTCTGGATCCTCTCTGGGAGTCTTTGGTGCCGTGGTATTTCAGTTCGTTGATCCTAGATATCAAGTAAAGCAAAGATGACTATTTTGGATTATTAAGTCCGAGAAAGACATGGGTTCGAATCCCAACCAAGTTGTCAAAAATATGGTCATAATTTAAATATTCATTGAAATGTTCTCTAATGGGATATTATACCCAGACAAAATCAACCTAATGTCCTTTAAAAGACTTGTAATTGGGTCTTTTGTATTTTATTTGTTTGTATATTATTTGTACTTGTTTCAGAATTTTCTAGTTAGCATTTTCATGAAAAGAATTTTCTAGACAGCTTTTTATAGAGACCTGCGGTTCTCAACATTTTATGGCTTGTTGCCCTATCCCGAAGGGTTATAACACTCACGGTCCCCTTTTTATCATTCCAGTGATATTTACAGTGTTATTAGGTTTAGTTGATTCTATATCCTGTTATGTTCAAAGAATTCATGCTTAACAGATAGAAAACATCAAGCTATGGAATTAGGAAGAACTAGGAGTTTCCCTGTAAAGTTAAAAGTAAAATTAGTTTTCGCCTAGCGTTAGGGCCCCCTCCAAATGCTTTGTGGCCCTTTCGGCCTCTGGTTTCGCCTCTGGCCTCGCCCATACCTGCTTTACCAGCTAGTATATCTCGCACCGCCCTGTTCATCTCCCATCCATACTTACTTGTAATAATCATAGTTGGACGCTTGGCATCTTTCAAGTCCCCCGATTGGCCAGTGGTAGAATCTATTCGGGTCTTGTCCTCTTGCCCAAATGAAGGTTGCTGGTCCGTCCGGAATGGTGTGATCGGCCTGGTCTGCACTGTAAAGCTTCCTATAAAAGCAAAGAGCATGTTGGGTAAAAAAAGTGTTGAGAGATTGTATTTCAAACTGCCTATCTTTTATTCCCTTTTCCTTCAAACAATTTAATGACGTTACGATTCTATTATCACGTCATTTGTTGAACGTGACGTCATCATTTAGGGCGTCATGTTTTCACCTAATTTCTCTTATCCTACGCTTTTACACACAATTTGACAAAATCAAAGGCGGATGTGACGGTCTGCCTATCTTTCGTTACCTTTTCTTTCAAATAATTTAATGACGTTACAATTCTATTAATACGACCTTGGATTATTACGTCATAATTCATGACGTCATGTTTTCAGCTTATTGCGCTTCTACCACGCTTTTACATACGATCCGACAAATCACAGGCGGACCTTCAGAAGAGAAAATTCACGTATAATAAGATTGAAAATAACAAATTTACCTTCTAAAGGCTGCATGCAACATTCCATCAACGTGCGAGGCCGCGGCAGCAGTCAAATCATCCGTTCCGCCAAAGAACGAATCGGGTCTTGGAGTTGATCTGTCTCTGGTATAGGAGTCAAGAATGCGATGTCGGTTACCTTCAGCCGAAACTGAAAAATTTAATTTAGTAACCATTAGAGCAGTAGTGGTCCAGACGTCTTTATTTCCCTCTGACAGTAAAACCGGCGGGAAAAGACCAGAACTGTAGAATGCAATTCAAAGAGTCCTGCTGCACGCTTACACAAATGTCTTTCTGTAACGTTTCGTCTGACAAAAATCAGACTTCCTTAGACAAGTAGTTTACAATTATGACAAGAAATGAACAATCATATGGATTCACTAGCATAAACACTTGATAGACTTTTGAAGGGGATAGATTTATTTTCATGAAACATAAAATTCTAATCCAACAATTTACGTTTAAAGAGACGCTCACATGGTTAAAAATATATAATGAATTTTTAGTCTATTTTGCTGTGTTGCAACGTAGTACGGATCCACTAGCATAAAGGCATATAGGAAGGATTGGGAACTAGTCTCGCGTAATTTCCACCATAAAGACCCAAATGCCAAAAATATTTCAGAGTCCTTGAGATAATCACAAAGTTTGAGAGTGAATGTGTTAGTAGAGTATAAAAGTGTTTAAATATTGCGCAACAACTTTAACTGCTTCAAGTCTAGCGCCAATTCGTGTTTACCAATACTTAATTCACCCATATAAGCTAAGTATCACACGGCCTTTCAGAGAGTAATTTCATTCAGAGATCAATCAAGGAGACACTGCTATGTTTTCGAACAAGGCCTCATTAAATATAGATTGAAACCATATATAGGGCAGTTCAAGTCAGCACGGTCTGGGAAACAGTTCATATGACACACATTTCAAATGCGAACCAAACTCAGCCACGAGTACCAACACGGGCAACCTTGGTACGAAGAACCCGTCATGGCGTCTCTCAATCCGATATTCAACAACGTCCTATCAAATATAAACTGAAGACAAATGACAGTTCAAGTAAGCCCGATAAGGAAAACGGTTTACCATAAACAAAACACACAGACAACAAAGAGGTTAAAGTTTACTAGTAGGTAGCAACTAGTAAAATTACAAGTTCAAATTAAAAATTAACTCACTAAAGACCATATCCTGGCAGTCCATAGCATGCAAAGCAGCAGAATTTCCCTCTGGTTGACCTTCCGGGGCTCCTTCCGGGGTTCCTTCCGGGGTACCTTCCGGTGTGCCCTCGGGAGCACCTTCTGGCGCGGCAGTGGTTCCAGGAGCGGGTTCCCCTTCTCCTTCGGGTGCGGGAGTGCCTTCTGGAGTACCTTCTGGTTCCGGCACTGGAGCTGAGGTGCAAATTTAAGATGATGAATATGAAGTTCTTGGGAGGCATGTAAGACTTAGATATTTGGGGTCCAAATGAATGCCGCCTTCTAATAGTTTATACACAGGATATACACCGAAAAATGAATATCAATTTATAGTGCGTACCAGCATAAGGCATATGACAGTCGTTTTCAACCTTTTTTGGTGTTGCGGAATCCTTATAAAACATTTCAAGAGGCAGGAGCAACTCCTGTTTAATAATTTAATTATTCGAATTGTACAAAAAACTATAAATATATATAAAAACAAACCTAATTCTGGCAAAATAAATGATTTTTAAAGTTTTGCAAGTTTTTTAATAGTGACAAGTCTAATAGGCATTCGATTATATTTGAACAATATACACACACAAATATACATATATATGATCTTAGGTTTGAATGTAAATTTCGAGTTGAAGCAATTCTTTGTACGCAATCATGGGCGTAATCACGGGGAGGGTTGGAGCATCAATTTAGAAATGTAAAAAGGACACCTTCCGTACTATACATAGCAATTTTTAGTAGCTTGAAAACGTTTTTAGGCCCTTTAGACCAGGGGGGCAACTTCTCTAGTAAACGGGCCAGATGTGGGAAAATAAAGTTCTCGGCGGGCCGGATTATAACATGAATAGTATTCAATATCTTAATCACATATTTAGTCGCTAATGCAAGAGAGAAAATTATGAATCACGTTTAAAGTAAAGTTTAAACTATAAAAAAATTAGGAACCAAAAACACATAATGGATTTATCGTAACGTACTAAAAGTGTAATAATGTAATATCATAATGTTCTGATGTACAGTCAGCGGGCCGGTCAAAATCTCGTCGGTATGTTTCCCACCCCTGATCAAGACTCTCGAAACCCATGTTTATCGGAATCAATGGTTAATTACAATACGAGAGTTAAATTCCATGAATTATGTTGGTGGTTCGTCTGGTTAGTTGTCATAGTTGTATAATATATTGATTACCTATAGGAGACAAGAGCGCAACTAAGTTGTTATTGAAGGGTGAAGATTCTCTTGTCCTCGCATTACCCAGAGCGCAAGCTATTTTTATTTATTTTTCGAGATTTTTATACAAAAAAAGTCTCTTTTCAGACATAAATAATAAATTATGCAAAAAACTGTATAGCTACTTGAAGAAAAACAAAAATAAAAATATTTGAAAAAATAAATTCTAAACGAGGCCTGAAAATTTGAATGCAAATATACCTCCTGGATCAGAGTTGTAATTGCTGTTGGCCCAAGCGATTGCTTCTGAGACATTTCCAGCGAGGCAGAGTTGCTTGATCATGTTTACCTAGATGATATGGAAGAGTGGTTATGAAGTGACAAGCTCGATGATTGGATGAAATTAAGGAAATGGGGTCAAAAAAGTTAAGCTTTATTTCAGTTCTTGACCAATAGCCAATTAAAATAAAATACAACGACAAGTTGAATTCAAAAAGGGGGTCTAAGTAGGTTACATTTTAATTTATTTACCGACTCAAAACCAATCAAAGACATTATTTAGTTCCTGACTCAGAACCAATTAAAAATCCGATCATTGATGACAATACTTACCTCAGTTTCCCTTTTGACTCTTCTCAACGATCGACGTTTCCGAGCTGTATAAATAATACTAAGATGTTAAATCAGTGGTTTGTAATATCTTTGATGGAGCGGAACAACATTAAATATTTCAGAAGCTTGAGTAACCCTGTGGGGCCTCCTGAAGTATGCGCACCAAGATGGCGCACAACCTGAACTCAGGTTGTGTACCGAGTTAGGGTTCAAGTAGTGCGACATCTTGGTGCGCATATTTCAGGAGTACCCCCTGTGCAATAGGTAACTTGAAGAACTGTAAGATAGATTGTACAAACCTAATATATACATAATAAGGAACCTAAGTTTGGCTAAACAACTAATTAACTGGCTAATTGTTTTAGATGCATGGTCTTTATGATGGAAGAAGCCTTAATAGATCAGCGGGATACGTAAACCACCCTAGGGCGGCGAGGAGTCCAGCAATCCTCTCGCACATAATTATCTCCCGTTGAATTCGAACCAGCGAACACACGCAGAGTAATCAAAGGTGCGACGTCGAGCGTATTTCTGAGGCTTGGCACGATGCGCCACACCACCGAACCACATCATTTGAAGCCACATTTTTCGTTTACAAGAACTTTTACAGTTTTGCAGTGGACAATGGTCTATTTTGAAGGTTATCATTTTAAAATATGGTACATCTTAATTGTATTTATGACATCTAGACAAATGTTGATAAATTCAGCCAATTCCGCTTTTAAAAGCGCTTTAAGACAGTTTGAATAAATATTTCTTATAGTTCCGGGCTTTACTTCCGGGTTCGTAACGTTCAAATATCCTAAAGTTAAATAACTGTACATATTCGTGATAGAGCCTTACCAGCAGCCGCCGTTGTAGGTTCCGGTGTTGTTTCCGGTTCGGAGGCCGGTTCAGGAGTTGTTTCCGGTTCTGCTGTGCCCTCAGGAGTTCCTTCCGGAGTGCCGGTTGGCGTTCCACTGGTTACAGGAAAACTCTGAAAAAAGGAGCGCATTAGAGCGTTGTCGGGATTTTTTTTTAAATGAGCCGTGAGCAGTGGTTCTTAACCGTTTAGGAGCAACGGAACTCCAATATAACACCTTAATCCATGTGCAATAAATAGTTCAGTTGACATTTATTGTCTTAACTATAAACATGCCTGTAATAAAAAACAATACTAATACTGGCAAAACAAAATGGTCTTTAGAGAGCAAGTGTAGCTAGTTTAATGAGAGCGTCAAACCCAATGGGTGTTTGATTAAATTAAAACAATATACATATGATAATGTAGATTATCGGATTCAGATATAATTTCGGTGGCCTTTTTATAATATATATATATATATGTGTGTATAGTTTATAGTCGGCGTTGTGGCACATCGTGCTAAGCAATAAGTCGCCACGGCACATCCGATTCCCCTGCGTAGATTCGCACGTTCAAATATCATACCGGGTTTATAATGTGCGAGGGGATTGCTGTGCCCTTTGCAGCTGTAGGGGGGTTCATTCACCATGAAGTCAATGCACCTAAAACAATTAACTGTCTAACTAATCCCATACCCGATATGGACTGGTAACAAGATGAGATGCCGTGGTTCGCCATATCATTAAGCTGTCCACCCCAATAAACATGTGAATCCTATCGAATCATATCATTTAATTCAACATCTCATGAAAACAAATCGAGCCTTACCCTGCATGTTCCAGTTACAGTGTTTGGTCTCCATCCTAAAGCGACCCAGGTCTTCGTCTTTACTTGCAGAACAACTTCGATCTCGTCCTTATTGGTTCCCAAAAGCTTCCAGTACATGCTGAAACAAAGAGGAACATGTTTACTATCTCTCTGAACAAGTCCCTGTACAAGCAATCACTGGTGTCCTGCAACCTGGGGCACGCGGGCCAAATGAGGCCCACAAGAAAAAAGTTTATTTTATGGGGGTTTTGAAATTTCTAATTTCCAAGTTAAACCGAAAGAGCTAACGGGCCGGCCAGAGGCAAGAAAACGTGGATTTTTGAAGTGTCTTTGGGCGCCAAATAGCGTTAAAGCTACTCAAAATTGCTACGCATGATACAATTTTTTTTCCAAATTTCGAATAAGGGGAATGATGAAAATCTCGTCAAAATCAGTTTAGCAGAGAATCCGCGAGATGCCGCAATTTGATCAAAATAACCAAAATCTGGGAGAGTAAATTAAGGGACTCGGAACAGAATAGAAATTGAGGCCCATAGAATAGAAAAAAAAATAGAATGATATAAAATTTCTAATTGGCAAGTTGGACCATAACAGCTAGCAGGTTTGTGTATTGAGGGTTCAAAATGCGTTTCAACCTACGATAAAACATGTTTTTACTAGCTTCGTAAGCAGAGGCTGCAATTTCTAATTTCCATATAAAACCGTAACAGCTTGCTAGTTCGAATTGGATGAACTTGGGTTTATAGAGGGTCATTATGGTCTGAAAATCGTTTCAATCTACGAAAAATTTCTACGTGTGATACAGGAAAATGCATTTTTAAAGTAACGAAACGAGAAGGGATTCCTATTCCAACGCCTGGCAACGTCCATGACAAAATGTAATGGGGATACTAATTGAAAAAACAAAATTTTTTTTGGTTTGTCAATGCTTACCCAAATCATGTATTACACTCTGAGTGTTGTGGTAACCTGTGGATAACGCTGTTGGTGTTGTAGGAGAATGGTAATTAAGGTACAGTTGTCATATTACTAAAAGCTCGTTAAAATTGGTTTGGCTTGAAATCGCGAGATGGCGCAATCCATGTATAGGAATCACAATTGGGGGTTCCTTTGGGGTCTTTTAGTAGACGTCACAGAAAGTCGAAAAACCAGAAAAAAATGTTGAAAATATAAGCAACAGTTTCTCCTGTAAATTTTATTTAGAAATGATAGATTCAACACTTTAAAAGATTTTTACGGTTTTTGCACGTTTTTGTGAGGTTTTTGGTGTTGTTTTCAAAGCACTTGCCAAATGAAATCTCGAATATCTGAGTTAAATCCAAATGCTATAATCAATTTGAATTATCACTCTGGGCAAGGCTGAGGGTGTGCTAAGAGGATGATAACAAAAGTTTTGTTGTCATATAAATACGAGTCGTTTATTGATCAAACAATTTGTCAGAATCAGTTTAGCAGAAAATCCGCGAGATGGCGCAACTTGTTTAAAATTAGGGTTCCTAATGCCGGAAAATGGGAAAAACAATATTTTAGTGCTGAAAATGTGAAAGCACTCGATCCAGTAGATATTGAGAAATGTCAGTTTTATTCTTACAATAACAACGAATAAACAGAACTATTTCTAAATCCGCTCTGTCTTAAATTCCCACTAAGATTCTCGCCGTGTATTTTTAAGGATTTTAACGGTCTAAAATGCGTTTCAAGATACGAAAAATTGTTAGGTAGATAAAGGAAAACAATTTTTCCCGTCTTTTCAAATGAAGAAGTTGCGACCTCCATCTGGGTATGTCCTAAAGGGTGACCGTACATTTGAACCAATGTGTATATCCACGGGTTCAATCTATATGCGGGTGCTAAAACCCATGGGTTAGGGTTAGTATGGGTTTAACTATCCGTGAAACAAAAAAAATTCCATAGGTGCAATACCATACAGGTGCAATTGTCATGGGTTGAAATGTACGTGGGTTCAAATGTAATGGAACCGTCCTAAAGATTTTGTTTAAAATTTTGTTTGGAGATGATGCGTAAAAACGTCGCATAAGAAAGCCCGATCTTAGTTAGGGCAATTAGGTTAACATTTAAAGACAGCGTCAGCTCACCTGAACTCTGGATTTCCATACAACTCAGATTTGTAATATCCCGTCAACTCTTCAGCTGTTTTCACTGCGTTCGTTACAGGAGAATCTGAAAATTTAAAAACAAATGTTGTAAATTTAGTAAATTTGCTTGTAGCAAAGATTATACACAACACATACCACACGATAGTCTAGCTCAGGGGTTCCCAAACCAGGGGTCGCGACCCCAAATTGGGTCGGAGTGATAAGTAGGTAGGGTCGCAAACAGGTCAAGGGGTCGCTGAGGTATGGTAGAGGATGCATACACAAATCATCTAAGATTTGACAAACCATGTTAAATTTAGCAGTTTGTACCATGGCTTACTGTAAAACAGGCCCGTAAGCATCGCTCTATGCTTATGCTATGGAAAATGTAGGTGCTTCTTGTGACATCACTGTTTGGTTTTAGCTTATTTTACTTAATATCACCACATGACCAAACTCAAAAGTCCAGTGAAAGAAGCTCTAAAGTTTCATGAAAAATATATATATTGACATGGGGTCGCACTTGACACTTGAAAGTTGTCTTTGGGGTCGTCCTGGATAAAGCTTGGGAACCCCTGGTCTAGCTGTTGGACTAGCTGTTGTAAATAAACTGTTTTCATTCATAATTTTTCACATCAAACTAGATTATTGCCTTAAAAAAGTGGTTTTTCTAGAGTATTATTAGCCATTGACATTAGTGTAAATGTAAGTTTGATAGGAAGGACACCGAATGGCTTTTTCAATGCTAAAGGTTAACGACTTGTGATGTGTAGAAAAGAGTTGGTAAGCACTGGACTATTATATTAACAAAAAATTCGATACAATGAGAAGTGCCCATCCTTCACAGGCTATTATGACGTATTGGTCACTACTAACGGTCATCAATAACAACAAAAAACATCTGCGCATACCTCTGGTACAACAAATATGCGCGCTCAAGTGGTACTAAAACATCATTGTACGTGGACAAAAGAGATTGATACCACTTATAATAAAATGCTCATAAATTTGTGACTTCATGGATAATTCCCATTTAAATTTGAGTTCGATTGCAACTTTAATATTTCGATAATTGAAATCCTTAATGTTTATTTTTAATTTAGTAGGGTTAAAGGTAGTTACGTCATTAAAATCGTAACATCATGAATGACTTTCAGCTGTGTATGTCTTGTGGTTACATTATAGATGGGATATCTATTTAGCCAGTGATTCGAACTGCAAAGTTTGCATTTAGAAATAAATATAAAATCGGTACTAAATATAAAATCAGTACTATCCGTTATCACCCCACCACTAGTTTCTGATATGCTTGCACACTGCACTATAGATAATGCCCTTTTGTATTATATTTCGACACTACTTTATCAATAATATGGCAGTCCATAGCATGCAAAGCAGCAGAACTACCCTCAGGTTGACCTTTCGGTCAAATATAGTCAATATAGTCAATCTCTTCACGGGCTCCAAAACACCGAAATTTCGAAAAACCCTGGGCTAAGACATCACGACGCCCTTTGGACACTTATCGATTGACACTTGGCATAAAAATAATGGCTGAAATACGCTAAGTCATTCTTGGTGTGAATATTGTCATATATTACAATTCGTTATATTTGGATAAGTATTCATGACTAAATTATCCCACGGTTAATGTAACCATGGTTACTGCTTTGCTTACAATCCTTTACATGTTTTATGACGTTACAATCCGTGTAATCTCATCGCGTTGTTACATAACAATATGCGATAATCCCTCTCGGCTGACCAGCAAATTTTATTTTATAGTGAATAATCTTATCTTACATGGGTCCACAAAAATTGAGAAAATAATATTTTGTTGAACTGCTATTTTTACTATTAAACATGTTCAGTAAAATTTATCATATTTTAGGTGTTATCATGTTATTGCGTCACAAGGGCGTAGCAAATAAATTTAATTAAAAGAGGTTTCTGAAATTTCTGATCGCCAAGTTATATCGTAACGGCAAGTGGGTCCGGTCAAAAAAAGTGGGGTTTCAAAAGTCTTCACGGTCGAAAATGCGTTTGAAGCTACGAAAAATAGCTATGCATGATGAAGAATTTTATTTTTACATTTGTGCAGAGCCTTATTAACGGAGGACGTAAATTATCGTAGTATATAAAGTGTGACTAGCATATTTTAAACAATATTTTCAAGCTAACATGGTTCTATCATTTAAATTTATTCCCAAGATTCTTATTAAGACTTGGATTTAGGCCGAATCCATGTTATTTGAGCGGGTTTAGGGGTGTCCGGGAATTGAGGCGGCACCTTGGCTACCCCTATAGACAAGAACACGCCTTACCTTTGCTGCAGTATCTTCCCATTTTGCCAGCGTTACAATAGCAGACTTTGGTCGGATAATACGTGGATTGGATATCGTAGCAAACTCCGTTACTATTGCAATCTGTATCATCGTCACAGTCGTTTTTGTACTCACATCTGTATGAGAGTAAGCGGTTGTTACCATTTTTTTTTGTTGTGGGATTGGCACCCGATGCATCAGTTACCTTATACTAGTACTGCTACCGGGAAAAGTTATTGCTCGCGACTTTTCGTTCGGGAGGTGAACTCGATTGGGTTTAGTGGCATGGCTAAGAATTTTCAACGAGTGGTTATGAAATTTCTAATTACCTGGTTAAACGGTAACAGCCAGCGGATCCGGTCGGAGACCGGAAACGTGGATTTTAAAGGGCCTTTAAGGTCTAAAAAGCATTTAAAGCTACCAAAAATTAATATGTATGATACAAGAAATGCTATTCTACATTTCAACGTGGGTGCCTCACTCACGTTGGTAACTCCCGAGTTTGGAAACTCTGTTTAAAGCCATCAATCCTTGTATTTACTTAATTGCTTTACAAAAAGCAGAGCTATTTATTCATGAACAAAATGAAATTCCATATGCCGTCTGTATGTGATTTTCTGATTGAATAAATAGGCCTCTATCAAGTTGAAACTATACTATATCAAACAATCATGTTTTTGATTACATATACGTGTTAATTCTCCTTACTATATATATATACAGGGTGTCAGAAAAATGATTTCGCCCGAATTTATAGTAATAACAATCGTAAGTTTCAGTAAATTTTATTGTATGATAAATGAAAAATACAAGCACAATGAAAACTATAAATGAAAAAATGAATTTTTTTTTAACTCTCATCACTATAGAATCGAGCGAAATTTTTTGTACACCCTGTATATACGTTCGTGTTTTCATTTCCTGATGAAAAAAATTCTCTATTTCAAGACTCAAAAAGTCATTTTATGTCGATAAATTTTTATAAAATGATTTCACAGTACCTGTCCCCTGTGTAGGTTTTGGCGCACTGGCAGGTCCCGGCGTCGCATGTTCCTCCATTCAAGCATTTTCCGTCGTAGCAATCAATCCCTGCATAGCAAGAACAAAGAAATATAATTGTGCGATAGCGCTTTTTTTTATTAAGGTGAGTGTAAATACGAATAGGCGGTTGGAGGCCTAGCAACGGCTAGAGCGTTAGCCCCAAGTCATCGGTTCTTAACTAGGCGGCCATGGCTTACTGCTTGGTCACAGAACCAGTTTTGGAGGGCCAAGAATCTAATAAAAATTGCAAAAGTTATTGATAAATTCAGTTTCATTTGTGACATTATAGTTAGATTTTGATTGTAGTTGCAATGAATGATGCTGTTGTTGATTGGTGCAGAGTGGTAATTTCCGTTCTAATTATTTAAGGTAAAGTGTCTATTTTGCGGAAAAAATTATTTGTTTTTCTTGTAGTTTTACCGTGACATGGCAAAGTTGATGGGTCACGGGATTTATGCGCAGTAAAAATGAGCCTCGATAGAAAAAAAGATGAGAATCATTGGTCTAAGCGTAAGCCTCTTAGATATCAATGAGTACTTATTTGAAGAAGGCTCAGAGCGTAAGGTATAAACACGTTCAACAAAAACAACGATAAATACCGTACATAAAAGACCAAATAAAAAAGTCGTTTGGCATCTACTCACTCACCTGTGGAGCGGTTAGGGTATAATAACTTCACACAGAAATATCAATATATACCTAAGCCGATTAGGGAGAAAAAACTCAAGCAAAAAATCTTTGAAAACCAACGCCTCACCTGGTGCCATTATTTTCACATCAGCGCAGCTCCAAAAGAGATATCCATCTGCCCCAGCAGTCCATTCACCTGCTTGCCGAGTTATTCTTAGGATACAGTGATCGCAAACATGATCTGCCCCAAACGTGAGATCATGGTAAAGTCTCCTGCAAGAAAAGGTAAATGATAATTTGAATGTACATGTAAATAAATCTCTAGCCCCATATTTCCCAATCCTTTGGGGAGTACCCCTTCTTATGGAGGAATTTTTTTGTTCTCGATGAGGGATTTCTATTTGATATAGTATTGGTATATACCGTATTTGCTCGTTTTGTAGCCCGGGCCCATATTTTTTTCAATCAACTCACTAACCGGGCCCTTATTCAAGCACGGGCGCTTGTTATTTTCGATCGTTACAATAATTAATATATTGTTATTTCCAGTTCTCAAGTATGGTTTAAACGAGAATACCGAAAATCGTGACTTCTTCTACGCACCGCAGGTACAAGTCCGCAAAAGAAGAAAAGTTTTGCGACGCCCTATCAATATTGAAACGCGACGCCCAGTTTGAGAACCACGGTGTTACGTAATCAATGCTATCTGTTACGTAATTGGACGCCTAGAGCGTGAGTGTTATCTACCGGCGTTTAAAATTCAACAGCACCGGCCCTCATTTATTTTTATGTTCTGTTCACACGGGCGGCTATTCAAACGGGCCCTTGATCAAGACCGGGAGGTAAAACGAGCATATACGGTATATGATATTTTGAATGTAAGGTAATAAATCTCTAGTCCGCAAGTTCTCAACAAGTAGGCCATTGCTCACTGCGAGGCCATGGAAACTCATTTAGCCGGGCCACAGTCTTATTGGAAATTGCTAGTTTTATTTGTGTAAATATAATCAATTTTGTAGTAGCAATGAATAAAAATGCTGTTTTCTGCAACATAGTGGGAATATTAATTTCAACCAATAAAGTGGAAAATTCCATTTTTGCGTAGAATTTTTTTTGCTTGTAGTTTTTCCCCAAAATAGGTGTTAATGGGCCAGAAAAATTTTTGTGCAACGAAAATGGGCCACGTACAAAAAAGATAGAGATTTGTGTGCCGACCCATAGGTTGGGAAACACTGTTCTAAATCATACTCCTATGGAAATAATTCTTAGGCATGAAATGTCATTTCCGCATGCCTGGTGGCAAATTTGGTGATCTTTGACATTTGACCTTTAGGTCACTGCTGCTACCCGGAAGTCCGCGCTCGTTTGAGCTCTCATTATTAAACAATTGTAAATGAAAGTTTATATTAATATTTTAACTTACGTTGAATCATTGGTGTATTGGTATCCGTCACCAGTCAAGTTTGCCGTAACTTCGCCGGATGTAGCGTTCAGAAGCTCAAATCTGATTCCGCCCTAAAAAATATGATTATACATACATTAAATTAAAATGCGGAGGATTGAATATGGCTTTTCTGAGTGATCCAAGAGCTTTTCTGCTAAGAATATTGTATATTTTAATATGCTTTCAAAAGAGCATATGTCTTAACATTTGAAATGATTCCTCATTCGCTTTGCCACGTCTACCAATGTCAATATGAAATTGTGATAAAGACTACTGTGAGAACATCTCGCTTCCATGACCTCAAGGCATTGGGGTTAAATTTTGCAAGCGAGATCGTGCATGATCAAAGTGGCCATTGACTACATAGAAGATTGAAAGAAGCACACTCCTTGCACACTTAATGGGTATTATGCTCTAGTTGTGAGAGACCGTCTAGCCGTGGGGTGCACAACACACTCCGTATTCTCGAACGTGGAGTACGAACGGTTTGGTTGAAAGTAACTCCTGTATTTTTAATCTTAATAACTGACGTTCATAACGAAAAAAAAAATTTAAATTGTCATGTTTATTCGCACATTGGTAGCTCGTGCTGCTGTTGTCAGTTATTGTGTGTTTTACGGAGTTCGTTTACAATTTTGCAATTATTCGAACGTGGCAAGTGACAAGATTATTTTAAAAACTTCGCGTATCGTCATTTCAGTTGTGCCCCCCTGGTATAGACAAATATCTTTTAATATTTCACTCACAGCGAACTGAAATAGGCGTTCTACATAGTTTGGTCAACTTTTCCAAGCGTAATCGAAAGAAAAGATTGTGAATTCAAACTTTGACGACTAGGCAACCAGACACACTAAAGGTCCGACCGTTTTAACACTGATTGCAAACCAAAGAAATGAAAAAGAAAAGTTTTCTTCTAATATTTACCAAGGGGCATATAAGAGTTTGAAGGTTGAAACACTAGGAATGAAAGAATTAAAGTCTGTTTACCATATGTGGATAAGCGACGTGCCATGTAGCTCTGACTGTTTTTCCTGTTTCCAGTGTCGTAATCGGCATTCCATCTGTAGAAATTTAAACAAATAGAAGTTAGAAATAATTTTGTGAATATGAATTTGTTCTTGCCACTTCGTTCAGGAACGAGACTCTCAGACGAAAGGAAACTGGTGATCAGATTGCCTTGAAAGGTAAAATTGTGACGAAAATAATGTCTTGGAGTGCATAAGTGACTGCTGGCACAGCGGCTAGCTCTGATTTAAGGTGTCACTATCTCTAAAACGGAGCCCTGCAAACGCTTAAAATAGAAAAATTACTTATTATCCAGTTGGGGTCAGGAATACAGAATATGATGGAAATTCAAATTTTCAAATATTTCCTAATCCCACCATATTTTCAACTTGATAATTACTAATTCCTTAATCCAAAGCATGGCGGGAGTGTTTTTCTCAAATCTCAAATTTTTGCCTAAGTGGCGGGATTTGTAAAAAAGATCCGAAAACAAATAAATATACTTTTTCCATATCTATGTATTTACTAGTAACTATTTTAGGGCCTTCTTCGGAGCGACGGCGTATCAATTGCCGCCTGGTGTTGTTATGGTTCGATACCATCTTCTACTGATATATACCTGTAAATGTCATTCCACTGCACGGAGCCGGAGTTCTGACGTTATCCAGGAAGTCCAATGCAAACTTCCTGGCCGGGGGAAAGGTCATCTGCAAATGTCCATGCACGGTAGTCGCTAGACATAACATCTGTAAATATTTATGTAAGAAATGTGAATTCAAATAAATGGGATTGCTAAGTTTGTTAGCGCGATGGGCCAAAATTATATTCAGGTAATAACCGTTACTCTATACCGGTGGTTTCCAAAGTTGATTGATCGGAGTCAAAATAAAAAGCGGAATGTTATTCGCGTACCAGGAGAGTGGAGCGCCTGCAAGGTGCCGATACCGGTACCGGTACGCATAATTAAGATACCGGTATCAATGAATTGTTGCGATAAAACATGTGTTTAAACTATGATAATGCCGTAACAATTGGCTGTACTTAGAACGCAAAACGATAAACACACAAAGTGATAAACTAATTCACCAAGTTCGTGGGCCATATTTAATCGTTACGCGAGCCGTAATTGGCCCGCGGGCCGCGGTTTGGGAACCACTGCTCAATACTATTAGTGAATGATTATATACTCATACTACTCTTTTTGATCTTCGTGTCCTTATATTTGAGCATTGATCTCTTTTTAATAAAGAACTTGGGATTTTAAAAACTGAAATACTTATATATATGCGCATAACAACATAGCGTTAGCATATTCCATAGTTTTCACTAGATAAATGTGTTTTATTGAATTGAAGGCTTTCGAGCCAAATAATCAAAGAAGGGTGACGTGGCAGCATCACCAATTCTGGCTTATGTTCTGGCTAGTCTCGCTTCATTGATTTTTATTAAAGGTTTTGAACAAAATTTAAGTAAAGTCGATAAAATTGCAATATATACATAAAAAACTTACCACCACTAGAGCCGATAACTTCCACATCTTTGAATTCAATGTATTTCACTTTTATTATACCAATAACTTGTTTGTTATATTAGTTTATAGCTATGCACTGTATAAAATAATTCAATTCGTTTATTACTACAGACTCCTAAGGTTAGCGATAAAAATGTAAATAAATGAATAAACACAAATAAAAATATGCAAATGTACACGATGCCATGGAAGAGTTAAATACGATGTCATGAAAAATGTTCTAAATGACCTAATATATAAAAAAAAAAGGCTGAAATTCATATTAAATATCGGCCCAGCCAGGACCTCAGGCAATTTTTAAACATAATCGAGTTCCTTTTCCGAAAATTACATCGACTTACGATTTGATAGTCTATGAATATTACAGGTATATTGTTATGCATCAGATTTGCTACTCTTTGAAGATCATTTTTTGCCAGTATTGTGTTCACTTTTATATATACTTACAGTTAACTATATGGACAATTAAACTATTGCACAGGAGTTCCCTTAAGTCTCTGAAACATTTCATTGGTGTTCCTCGCCACCAGAAACGTTGAAAACTTTTAACGCTTTTCATGACCAAATCCGCTGTTTTCTATGTGCCATGCTATGTGCCATATGTGACAAGCAACCATCGATGTTTATGTTTATGCTATTTGAGCGTTATCAGTTCCAGCATTATAATACAACCAAAAACACTAAATGACTCGGCGGTACCATTTTTTATATATTCCTCGCTAAGCTATTTAGAAACTTTTTATTTCTTCCCCGTTATGCATATAACTCGGTTTATGTTATTTTTTCAATGTTCCAAATGACCTAATATATAAAAAAGGCTGAAATTCATATTAACGCATATGTGGTGCGGAAAAAAATGAAGTACTATAAATGTATATCGTATTTTTTGCGCGTGCTCAGTATTGGATTATTTCTGTTTTAAAACGCACAACATTTGCTACATGAAACTGGTTTGAAGCAATTTTTTGAGGTATGTTATCAAATTTCTCAACGTCACACGCGATGGACTACTCAAACATGGCGATCGACCGGTCGACGTGTTGGCCACCCCTGACCTAGTGATACGAGCAATCTGACTTTTGTCTACCCTGAATAGCTTATAATAAGTATTACTTATTAATATTAAATAGGTAAAGAATATTAGTAATACGTAAAAACATAGTAGAATTCATTGCCTAAAATCAAAAAATTATCTTCTGGAGAGAAGTTTTACTAGACAGGGAAATAACAAATACTGCAATTACTGCTTGGAAGCATAAGCAATGATGATGGGCTCGCGTAGCATTATCAAAATATTGTTGAAAGTAGCAGGAAGTTATAATGGCGCTTCTATTTGTTCAATGTAATACATCTTGTTGCGTGAATCCATATTCTGATGGCGCACCACAAAATACCATACCGCCAGCACTTGCCAATTATATATAAACCTACTTATAGGCCTTTTAACCTGGACCAGTACCAGCAATATAATACATCTAAATACCAATCACATATAAATATTAACAGAAGCGATGAGTTGTTGCGGCATTATGAAAAAAATATTATTACAAGTATCAAGAAATTATGATAACGTTCAGCCTGCTTTGCGGTATCAAATTTCGTAAAGTTTTATTGTTATTGGAGTCTCTCTTAAATATGACGCGCTGACGCTACAAGTAAACGGTAAACTTAATTTAGTATTGGCAGAAAATGTGCCCACCCCTGCTCTATAGAGTCGATATTATCATGCTGTATTGCCTGTCCCACTATTTTTATCTGGACCTCCAGAAGTATGCGCACCAAGATGGCGCACAACCTGAATATAGTATGTGTGTACCGGTTAGGATTCAGGTTGTGCGACATCTTGGTGCGCATACTGATGGATCTTATACAATTATTACATTTTAGGGAAAATGAAGATCTACAATAACTTTTTTAACCTAATAGGGTGCGCACGGCGACGTATACATATCAGATTCTTTACTACGACAGGCTAAAATTATCAAGTTAATCTGATTGTCACTTAGAAACACGATATTATCATGCTGTATTGCCTGTCCCACTATCTTTATCTGGACCTCCAGAAGTATGCGCACCAAGATGGCGCACAACCTGAATATAGTATGTGTGTACCGGTTAGGATTCAGGTTGTGCGACATCTTGGTGCGCATACTTAGGATCTTATACAATTATTACATTTTAAGGAAAATGGAGATCTACAATAACTTTTCTAACCTAATAGGGTGCGCACGGCGACGTATACATATCAGATTCTTTACCACGACAGGCTAAAATTATCAAGTTAATCTGATTGTCACTTAGAAACACACTCACCATTTTAACTGATAGTATCTTACCAACAGTCGCTTTTATAATTCTCCATACTGTCGGAGATCTGCACCAACTCAAGAGTTCATAACGTAAAAGGTTCGGGATAAAACGGAACGGATAGGAAATTGTGTGGTGGGGCAATAATCGGATAAGAGCCTAGTCTTAATTAAGCTAAAATAAACTGAATAAAATAAAAAAAAGAAATTACAAAGTGAGTGGTGTGACAATCTACTGTCCATACTCGAACTAAGCCTTAGGGCAGCGGTTCTCAACCGGGGGCACTCGGCCCCCTAAGGGGGCCACAGAGGAGTTGGAGGGGGGCCACGAGGATGGGCTGAAATCTGAATTTACTTTTCACTTTAAAAGAAATCTCAGTTTTTCCTAGTTTGCTGCTTAACAAGGTTATTTCGCAGGGTGTTTTCGCTCTCTTTTGTGCAAATTGTTTTAACATAATGGGATTCGGAATCTATCAATGAAAATAACCCTACTAATCCCTCTGGAATATTAAAGTGGGGGCCATGAGTGCTAAAAGCCTCCGAAAGGGGGCCACGAGTCATAAAAGGTTGAGAACCACTGCCTTAGGGTTTCTGAACTGTACACATACCCCAAGTTCATTCATCATGTATTTATATTCAAAGAAAGCATGTCATGAATCTGTGGTGGGGCGATAATAGGATACTGCGTTCACTTAACTTGGTCTTACCTAACGTGTAAGATAAGCAAAATTTAAAAGAACACATCGGTAAATTAGTATTGGGTCAATGAAGTACAGGTCCAGAAAGTCCCTTTACAATTTTAATATTGTTATGAAGTCAGTTCTCAATATATCTTAACCAACTTTGTTGTTTATTAATCAGTAATTGTTTAAATATTTTTACCTCATTTAATACATCTGTGAGGACCAAAACAATATATGGTATCGATTCCCTTTGCAAATAAAATTTAAGACTTTATAGACGCCCTATTCAATATTCACACTCTAACTACACCTTAAGCTCTCTAAACTCAACCAAAACGGAATAACAAAGTGGCATCCGCGACTCTCAATATAAAAGGTGTATTACGAAACACCCTAGAATTGCCATACTATTAAACACGCATCACGCCCTGAAAAACGTAAACAATTATTTGTGCCTCTTTGCCTAAGGCAATAAGGAAACATAAATGTACTTTATTTAAAACGGCCATCGAAAATAAAAGCTTTAAACGCGTCGCTTGTCTGGTCCATAATTAGCGAAAGATACCTTTTAGAATCCATGATAATCTGTGATAATTATAGATAATGACGTCATAATTAATCATTTATTCGCAGACGACGCTTTAGTTTGATCAATTTGTTAGGAATTTAGTCGAGTATCATGCTCGGCCGGATGAAAATAATGGCTTATATCGACGTTTTTGAGACAAGGTTTTGACTTTTTGAACGTGTGGGCTATATTTAACCTGGACGTGAACTAAAGGGACTCTTTATATGACTTCTTGAGTCTCTGAAAATCTTTTTAATATTATTGTGATGTTATTCAAATATTTTCTCAAAAATGCGGTGCTACTATCGTATTCTGTGTTTGAAACGCGTAAACTGCGGCCCGCGGGTTAAATGCGACACGCAAGGATACATTATGCGCCCGCATGAATGTAGTCTGGTCCACGAAACGAGTTTTCAATTTAGTTGGATCTGGTACGAGCGAGTAATTCTCTTTGCGTTGCAAAGCCTATACCCGAGTCCAATTTATCAAAGTGGGTGTCACGACGCTCAAGTGCGTCGTTTCAAATTTTCTGGGGCGTCGCAAAACTCTCCTTGTTTGCGGAATTGTAAATGCGTTTCGTAGAAAAAGTCTAATTCTCGTTGGAATCACACTTGAGAACTGGAGAAGACAATAAATTTAAAAATTGTAACATTCAACCTTAACTATGTGACCTCACTAATGTCACGGGTGATTCGATACTGTTCCAATTATGACATCACACACACCTGGATATGGCTGTTTCATCATGTCATTCATTTATAATTCTTTTATGAACAAGGACACATCGAGCGTTGTTAAGCATCGTTCATCGCTTTAGCTCAAGCGGATATTCATTATTAACAGCACGCATTCTTTCTTCAGGCATAATTTAAATAAAACTCATTGCAAAGGAGGTGAAATTGAAAGATATTAAAGCGTTTTTCATGGGGAGTCGCAACTTGAATAAAAAATTTTGATGGGCGTCACAAACTGGCGTATGCCATTAAAATGCCCTAACAGCTAGCCTGTGCAAAGCAAACAACGCCTGCCATAAGATCAATAACCAAAGATTTTGTGTTTGCGACTACTAGAAAGCCTGAAAGTATTGATAAGAACAAAACAGTAGCCAAAGTTTTTTACAAACCGAAGTTCAGGAAGAACCGGTTTTACTAACGGCCCAAAACCGGATTCCGGTCGCAATTTTTTTGGTTTTTAAAAGCCTCGCGGCACTGTCAGTATTCAAATTCAAAATGCGTCGGAAATGTATATTTCCAGACATTGCAAGTATACGTAATCCACGTGAATCGATGCTTCGTTAATTTGTCAATTATGATTGATTAGTTCTAGAGAACAATGCGGAAATAAATTGACGCAAAGGTCAAATGTCTATCACAATGCCAATTACAACCGGTTAAATGTTTAAAGAATTGTACCGAATGTCATATAAGTGTGCCTGTGAACTAGAAAAAAATCAGCTAACTTTTCGGTCGACTCAAAGGAAATTTGGATAACAAAGTGACTAATATGCTTTTGCGACTAAGGGCAAAATTATGAGTGAAAGACAGGGCCTCGACCTGGATAT